GAGTATTTGAGTAGAATACAGAATGCGCATTGTCTATCGAGCTGGGGGGGGCAATTATTGTGGAGAGTTCTACAGAAGGACTGTATAACGCTAGGGTTTGTTCATGCATCAAAGGGGGTGAATCAAAGGGGTGCACATCGCTGCAATTGCAGCGATCAAAGCTGAGTGACAGCATCAGTGATGCCTAGCATCTCCGTTCTACAGTGCTCAATTTCCAAACTTGTACCTACCTTCCTTAAGCCCCAGAATTACTACGTATTTGTACTGTACTGTTCACTCAAACTCACATTGCGCACATGTACATTGTGTCGAACATCAATGCGATGCGTAGCATTATAATTGTTAACTCTCAGTCACCGCATGCATGGTTCAAGCCTCAATAACGACACTTGCATTCGCCTCGGTACTGCAGTATGTGACACTAGCATCAATAACTAGCACATTAACTGGTACATCAATACTGTCCAATGCTTGGGAAGGACTAGTACAGTAGCCAGGCATGGAGAGGCACCGTGCCCTCCACCGTGCTTCAGCCTTGTCAAGGTCCAAGTACAATGCCCTCTGATTGGTTACATACATTTTATTTATAGCCAATCATAAGTTACAAAGACTTCATTGTTCAATTTGCGTCTCAGGCCCACAAGTACCGGCCACCACTTGCAGGGGGGCTCCTGCCCTCATAGCCTTCAGTTGATGTTGTAAAACATGGCACATTCTATCCACACGTAGGATATAGCTACGTTACACCAGATTTCTTGCACAAACAGGAGCAATAAGACCAGAACGATCACATTGATTTGGAGCAATGTCGGCTTGTGGAGTAGGGGGTGGAATTCAGCCTACGCCACAAACTGACAAGGTTTCGCTGAGGGTGACTGGTGTCATGCAGTACACAGTGCATCACGTGGCCACTAGGCTTCCATTACAATGCCTTGTGGCTGAGTCGTTGTACTCATGCGCTGCGTGCAATGGCAGCAAGGCTACCGACCGGTACCCTATATTTAGACCAGCTATTACCATCGTCAACAAACTCACCAACATGACTTGGTCTGTGACTCGATTGGGACAGGAAAAATCCATACTCACAAGACTTTATTAAACGTGTCGTGTTTGTGACATCGCCCCATGTTGTGTGTTAACGACGGAATTGTTGTGATAACGACGAGATTATTGTGATAACGACTAGTTTTGTGTGAAGACGACTGGTTTTGTGTGAAAGCAACGATGTACATGTGCTAGCGCCATATCTGTTGTGTGTGAATTTAATTTCGTTGTGACAGAGATATTACCTCCTCGAAATGTAGTACTCCGGAGTATTTCGATTATGAAACGAAAGCTCTGTGTTCGGTTGTTAAGAATCACTTCACAAAATGTGAAAAGCCTACCTATGAGCGGAGATATGCAACTGCGAAAAAGTGATAAATCATAAATTGGTCATGACAACGTCTCACTCATTCATATTCATTCACCAGTCCGACTTAGCAAGCAGCCTTAGGCAAGAACGGTTCGATAAAGTCGCGGACTTCCGAGATACGGGCGTATACTCCGGGGAGGCCAGGGAACGCACAGCCGATGCCCCAGCTGGTCACACCGGCCAAGTACTCGACACCGTCGCGGGTGACAGTCAACGGTCCACCCGAGTCGCCTTGGCACGTGTCTTTGAACCCCCCGCCGGCGCAGATCATGGAAGACGTAACGTTGT